CTGATAGATACTGCAAGTGACATCCAGCTGGTCTGTTTTCTTCTGCATCTTTGATGACAGGGCCAAATTGGAAACAAGAGTAAAATATTTTATAATGTTTTTTATTTAAGGCATTTTGCTAATGTTTTTGTCATGTTATTTTTAAAGGATTGCCTGAGAACTGTAATTATGCATCAACATAATATCATCTTTAAGGAATAAATACTATTACGTTTACTCTAAAACTCATGCTGTTGAAATAGTGAGGTAATTATTCAATGGAAAAGAAATTCACCTACTGAATCTTCCCAGGCTGATGAAAGGAACTGGAACTTAGAGATAGGGCAGAAGAGGAGGATGATGCCACTTGTTTTACAAGAGGGAACACTGATTTTGTAAACTTGCTGATTTTTCTACAGCATGGACTGTAATTTGCTTAATAAAACAGCAGTGACTTTTTTTTAAGGACATAGTGTAATATGCAGTCCTAGTATCTCTTATAAAATATGATTAACCATGTCTGATTACCAAGAAGTTTTTCAGTAACAGCATCTCCATAGGAACTACCTCAGAACAATTGTTTACTCTCTCCACAGCCTCTGTAATCCATGTCATAAAGATTATTTGGTAAGAATGTTGAGGATTTTTCTAGTAAAAATTTGAATTGACTTTATGGAGCTTCTCCTAGATGTCAGCTTGAACTGCACACATAGTACAAAACTGTTAGCTCATGCACAATGAGGATGTGTCTAAACAGAGCACAAGAACAGACCAATAAACTCTAGTCAGTAGCAGCAGTTTATATAGGCAGTTGGTCTCGAGGAGGAAGCATGAAGAATGTAAGTACATCATAATTGTTTAAACCCTCTATTGACTTTTCAGCGTGAAAAGAAATTATAGCTGGTTGGGGAAAGCCAGCTGAGTGTAGCAGTAAAAGCATTTATTTTTCACAGAATTTAGAAAAATACATATATAGCCCATACAGATTTTATAGAACCAAAAATCTCTGTGGGCTAGGCACATTCACGATGTGACAGGGATTTTTAGAAACCCATTTGTTTCTAGAGAAGCAAACAAAAATTCATACCTTTTCCTTATGGCATTTTTAAGCTTTCCATATCCATCTCGCTTGCACCAAGTACGGAGATTTTTTGCCATAGATCCCTCTTCCGTCTAAGGCAATATAATTTATTTGTTTTATGCCTGTTAAAACTACTATTCACTTAATACCTGTTTTACAGGAATAGGTACACTCACTAGTTTCTTTTATTAATATCTATTTTGGAATTAATGCTTTTTTCTTCCCATTTTAGCTTTTTCTGTTTAAAATATTAAATGAGAAATCAAAATCCGCCCCTCTAGCAAGCTGTTTTCTGTAGCTATATGTTGCGACAGTTGTGCTTGTCACTTTCACATATGGACAGTTCTTGGAGACTTTGCTATCATTCCAGCTGCTCCATAAGATTTTTCATTTTAATGCCAGTAGAAGTTGTAACAGAATGCTGAGAAATTAAAAAGCAAGGTCTATGCTGAATGAAGGGGGGAAAAAAAGCCCAAACAACTAAAAGGAAATTATTAAATGAAATCTTTTCCCTCCGTTTTTAGAGGTGTAAAAGGCCCCTCAGTAGCTGGAGTTTATTTGAACTTGAGTGATCTTCTAGGGAATTGTCTTTTCCCCTCTATCTCTTACTTAGCCAATTACTGTATTTCGAAAACTACTATTAACCAAAACATAATAGTACCAGCTGGTCACATAAACTGATCAAATGGTTGACCTTTATACCAGTATCAAGTTCAGTAGTTTCATTTTACAGTCTTTGCAGACATTAGTTCTAGTACAAAACTTGAAGTATACTCTTTAAGCTTACCAAATAGCAGGAATAACTGAAAGTAGTTTTTATTTCCTATCTGTTTCTATTACTTAATCATTCAAAGCAAACAAATTGCTTGGGAATATGAATGTCTGTGATGTAGTGCATAGTGAGACTCTATTAAGCAGAAACATACCAATTAGCATAACTGATACTTTAGTCTACATTTTTCAGTATCTTCATAATTATATTAAAATTTTCTCACATATTAATAACACAGTTATAAAATCTTATTAACTGTATCACTTGTGAACATTTGGCTTGTATTAAAGGAATAGCTCCAAGAAAAATTAAAGGTCTATCAATTACCAGTGGTAAGCTATTTGTCATATAGCTTAAGCCCTGGGAGACAGACTGTACAGTGATTTAGTCTGGTGAGACAGCTCCCTGGCTTTTAGTGGTCTTGAGGGAGAACAGTTGCCTTTTCCAGGGAACTCTGTATCTAATCTGATTGCTGTCAAATAAAAATCAACACCCCATCAGTCAGAGAGTCATGCAGGCATAGGGTGGGGCTGGGCTTTTTACCAATATCAGACATGGTCATGGACACGAAACTGATTGAATCTGTAGCTAAGAGGCTTTTGCATCGTACGCTGTGCCCATATGCTCTGTGACTCGACGTAAAGAAGAGGGCTGTGCTGCTTTTTCCAGACAGAAAAGGCCATATTTTGAGTTCCTGTGTTGTTGTGAAAGACTCACTGCGCATGCTCAGGAGGTCTGACAGAGGTGTGAATGCTGAATTTATGGGGAGAAGGCCAAAAGCTAGAAATAAATAGATGATTGTTGGCAAATGTTCCTGGCCAGAGTCTGAGGAATTCTTGGATGAAAATGCAGCATAACTGTGTGGTGTGCTGTTGAAGTAAAAAAGAATAAGGAATTCATTTTTCTCCAGTGCTCTTTAGTTTGATCTAGGACTGGGGATTAGGAGTCATTAACTAGTTCTTGTTGTAGGTACCACACTATGGGTCCCTCCCCAGAAATACAAGTAACCTGATGTACAGCCATTGCCACATCATGGACCTGGAAGTGGCCTACTGCCAGAACTACTCCCAGAAACGCTGAGAAAGGCAACGCCACAAGGAGCAGGCTGAGACCAGTGTAACTATTTATTGGGCAGTTCATTGCAGGTGTCATTGGTAGAACAGAATAGAATCGTAGAATATAGGGGTTGGAATGGACCTTACAGATCCTCCACAATCACTGTGAATATGCAATACATCTGAAGTGAATGCTGATGGTTGAAGTAGATTGCTACTACAGCATCTGTTTTCCTTTCCAGAATATATTGTTTGAATAAAAACTTGTCTGGTAGAACTCAACAAAAATGATTATTCAAACATTGTTGTGTCTGGAAGCAGAAGTCTGCTATGCCAGTGGGAAGGGTGCTGAAAGGAGTACTCAGCAGATGAATAAGAGCCTGGGAATTTCCCATTTCATATTAGTGTAAATAGGAGAATGCAAGGTGGTAGGTGCTGTAAGTAGCTACAAGTGATAGTAAAGGAAAAATGGGACTGAGAGGCATGTTTGATAGATAGGAATCAGTGAAGCAAAAAGAAATGTCAGAGCAACTGAAATGAGACTCTCCCAAATGAGAGTCTCCCAAGTAGAAGAGGAAGTACTAGAATTGGCAAGGGACTGGTAGCCATGTGGGGAATAAGGATATTGTAGTAGCAATGGGGTTGCCCTCCTTGTTGGGACTAGTGATACACTAGATTCTTACTAAAATGTGTGTTCTGAGATAACCCAAAAGCAGGAGTCTGGGAAATTCACTGGAAATTTAGTCCCAGGAAAAATGAAGTCAAAGGTATGATAAAACAGTGGAGATCAGTGTGTGTATTAAACTGCTGCTGTAAAGAGTCCACTGGGGTATTTTCCCATTGGAGGTATTCATGGAGTCATCTTGATGATGCTATGTCCAGGCAGTAGTGTTAGCACAAGGAGCTTTAATTTAGCTGAAAGAGAGAGAAAGGGGAAGTAATTTATGCAGCCTCTGCTTCTGGAGGAAGGAACAGATCTGGAGAGTGATAATACAGTATGGGATAGATGAGTATGAGAAAGCAGAAGGGTGGACATGAAGTGCTAGGTATCAGTCACAGCAGCTGTCAGTAGTTAGCAAGTTAACTGCACTGAAGTTTTGTTCTTCTGACTTCACTCAGATTTTTGAAAAGTGACAGAAAAAACCTAGACAACAAAACTGAGGGACTAAAGTACTGGTGTGGATCCTGGAGACAAGGCATTCTGATAGGAACACAGCAGAATAGCCATAGTCAGAGAAACATGGGTATTGGAAGATATTAGCTACATCTTAAACTAAAAATACCTTTACCAATGAAAGAACTAAAGCACAAGCACAAAGAGGCTTCAAAAATTATGCTGGGAATGTGTAATGTGTCAATGGCATTTTGTCTTCAGAGCATTCAGAGTTTTTCAATTTTCCAAAGTCATTGTTGATTTTCTACTGTTAAAAACATGCTAAAGATGGTCAAGCATCTAGACAAAGATGGTGAAGTCCCTAAAAGCTGTCTGCCCCAGAAATAGAAGATGAGCAAAAGGGGATGCACATATTTAGAAAATAACTGGACCAACTTAATCTGACTCTTACCATAGTCCATAATAGTATATTCAGATATCTGGAAGTAAATATAGGATTATTGTCTAACATGTATTTGTTTTCAAAAGAAAATACTGCCCAGGCCCTATAGAAACTGTCCGATTTCCTCATTTTGAAAGACCACACGCATGAAAATCTCAAGGTTTATCCTGTTATGCTGTAATTTTCCTCATTTTCTAAATCCACCGATTGGTTCTGTATCTTCTTTCAGCAGTACTTAGTGCTTTTCTGCCTGGGTCTCTAAAGCTCTGTGCAATTCCCAGCTTGCACTCTGAGCTGGCTCCCTCCTACACACTGTTGCACGCCCTCCCTTCACCCAAGGCTTTCACATATTACAATACGTGTCTTTTATCCTTTCCTCTTTCTTAATTTCTGCAGTGCCATGCAGCTTTCCAATCAACCTTCTGCCAAGGACTTCCCTTCTTGCCGCCCCCAGTTTGTTTTGCAAGAGAGTTAGTTGCACAGGAAATTAAGCCATAATATTAAAGCCTGTATTGTTTCTCTTCTGTGTGCCTAAAAACGCATGACACGCCTTGGACACTGCATAAAGCACATGACA